ATTACGATTGACAATATTGTGACCGGGAATAGAGTCACGATACCCTATCCTCCGCCCTTGATTATTTGATTCTTCTTCAGCAACCATAACAGTAACAACTTGAAAAGCCAACATATGAGTGTCATCATCAAAATCAAAAGCATCATAAAAATTAAAATTAGAATGATTCATGATGAATTTTAATGAAATATAACAAAGATTGGAGAGAAGAAAATGATGAGAAAAAATGTTAAGATATATGAGAATATTTATAGATGGACTATTTTTTCGAATTGTAAAATCTTAGAATGCTGGCGGTAATTTTTTCAAAATTTGAAATTTGAAAATTTAATGTTGGCGATTATTTTTTCAAAATTTTAAATTTTAAAATTTAAAATGTTGGCGGTCATTTTTTCAAAGTTTGAATTTGAATTTACTTTTAAAAAATTAAATTTTTAACAATAACATATAAAACATAAAATTAAAAATATTCATAAAAATAAATTTTAAATTTAATTTTAAATTATATTTTTTAATTTTCATATTACTTCATTAATTTTATATTACTTTTATAAATTACTCATATTAATTATATAATTAATAACATCATAATTATATTATATATAAAATATCTAAATTAGTTATATAATTATATTAAAATTAATTTAACATGAAATATATTAAAATATAAATGACTTTTCTATATAGCTTTTTACCATTGAAATGTACATAATTCAAAAAACTATATTTACACGGTTCAAAAAGTCTTTTTTTTTTACTCTTCAATATAGTATTTCAATATAATATTTTTTTATTGAAAATGCTCTTAGAGATAAAAATACACCTGCTTTGTTAACTAAGGGGTCATGGTTGAGTTGGTCTTGCACCTTGAGGTTCACAAAACGCTTCTCAAGAATGTTTGGCAATGCATTTAAGAAACATTTTCAAAAAAATTTAAATTTTTTTAAGTTAATATATTTTTAATATTTTTAATTATTTTAATGTATTAATTTAGAAAATAATTTTAAAAAACAGGAAACTTGACATGGCTGTGAAAGACAGGAACTTGTCTGAGTTGATAGACGCTGAAGTATCAAAACTACCTTATTTCCAGGCTGTCGTGAAAGAGGCTCTCAGGGTCCACCCACCGGGCCCAATGTTATCCTGGGCCAGGTGGTGCAGCTCGGAAGTCCAGCTCAGCAACAAAATGGACATCCCCGCGGACACCACTGCGATGGTCAACATGTGGGCCATCACACATGACCCGTATGCATGGGAAGACCCGCTCGAGTTCAAGCCAGAGAGCTTCATAGAAGCTGATGTGGAGGTTAGAGGTAGTGATTTGGGATGTAAGGTGCTGGATTGAAACATTAAGGCATATTAAAATAGTTTTAGGCTCCGTTTGTTTGCAGGAAAATTATTTCTTTTTGAAAAGTAAATTCCAGGAAAAGTAAATTCCGGGAAAGTGAATTGCAGGAAAAATAAATTCCTGAAAAGTAAAGTATTTTTTGATGTTTGGTAGTGTTATGGAAAATGAACTGGAAAACACTTTCCAGTGTTTGGTTATGTTATTGAAAATAAACTGGAAAATAATTAATTAATATTTTATTTTCTCAAGTTTATTAAAATAATAAGGAATAAATCTTACAAATTAAAAAGTTGAATAAAAATGAAATTGAAAAAAAATAATTTTATAAATAATATTTTAATATATTTTTAAATAAAAAATTTTAAAAAATAATCAACCCCTAACATGCAGCCACGATGTTAAAGGTACGGATACAACTGCTCTGTTAACTGAGGGGGTCATGGCCGAGCTCAGCAACGGAATGGACATCTCCGCGGACACCACTGCCATGGTCACCATGTGGGCCATCACACATAACCCGTATGCGTGGGAAGACCCGCTCGAGTTCAAGCCAGAGAGCTTCATAGAAGCTGATGTAGAGGGCAGAGGTGGTGATCTGAATGTAAGGTGTTAAATTGAAACGTTAAGGCATATTAAAATAGTCTTGGGTTTTTGGTTTCGGACCAAAAGGCAATCCAAAAGAGACCAACTTGCATGCTTACTAAATAGAATTTTATACCATTTTTGCTTTATTCTTTTAAAGAATTCCAGTACCTTTAATTTTTATTTATATTTTTTTTCTGTATATAGTTAATTATTTGATGTTGTCTTTTATACGATTTCTTTTTATAAAGAATTTTAATACCTTTAGTTTTTATTTTTATTTTTTCTCTGATATAGTTAATTATTTTAACTTGTATTTTCTTTTTTATAATTAGCCTAGGTTTTAATGTTTTCGGGATTTTAATGCCCTTCTTGTTTTATTTTTTTCTATTGGATTTTAATTACTCCTTTTAAACCCTTTTCAATAATTTTATCTCATTTTTTCTTTTTGCTCTTTGCTTTTTTTCCCAAGGTAATTATTAATAGTTGTGTTTCCCCCCCTATAATTAGCTAAAATTCAAAGAGTACTTTTTTTTATTCCTTAAGGATTTTAACTTTCTTGTCTATATACATGACTAGTTACAGACAGTTGCTTTTTATTTCATTTTATTTTATAAATAACCCATACCATTCATCTTCTTTAAATTATGAAATAACTTTTCCAGTTTTTTATAGTTTGATGACAATTAATAATTGGTTAGTTTGAATTTATTCAAAATGTTAATGGATAGCTGATATTATGATACTGTTTGTTTTTGCTGCGGTGCAAAAGTGTTATTAAAAAATATTTTATTTTAAATTTTATAATTTTAAATCGTCTTGATATATTATAAATTTTATAATTTAAAAAAATATTATTTTAATATATTTAAAATAAAAAATATTTAAAAACACAGCTACTCGGAATATAAATATGGTCATCTCAAACTTTCAATTATTTCCTGTTGTCCCAAGAATAATTATCTTTAAGCTTTCATAAATATATGTTTATTTATTTCTTCTCGTCCTTTTACTGAGAGTTCTATTGTATGGATCCTTCATTATATTCATGAACGCTAGAGTTTTCTTTTCCCAGGTGCTGTAGTAAAAACTTTATTCATAACATTTGCTATATGTATGTTAAAAAATAAATCTTAAAAGTAAGGATTTGTAAGAATTATAATATTAATGTAATTATTTTGAAATTCAATATTCTTGATGTATTTGGTCAAATGATATCTTTATCCTAAGATCATACAAACAATGTTGTTTGTATGGCCTAAGAAATTTCACCATAAGAATTATAATGACAATTGTTTAAAAGGATAAAGAATTGCAATTCATACATGCAATATTTTATTTAACCAAGTGATTCTTGCAATTTCTTTCCGATGGCAATTTGTTCTACATGTTGTACGTTCTTTCAACCTAGCCTGTTAACTTTTCCGATGGCAATATGGTGGAGATTGCATGTGTAGGTTGGGGTTACAAAAATTATCGAATAACTAATTAAATTGAAAAAATAAAAAAAATAACTAACAAAAATTAAATTAAATGATTTAAAATATAAAAAAAATTCTAGTTTGGTATAATTTTAATTTTCAATTTTCAATTTTCAATTTTTAAAATTAATTCAACCGAACTGAAATGAACCCATTCAATATTTAAAAAATATATAAATAAAATATTTTTTAAATCCCAGATCTAAATTGGCATTCCCTAAAAATAAAAACAGTAGCCCCCACCCTTACGTCTCTGCATCTCTCTTCTCTTTTGGCTCTTTACAACTTTCCTATTTGATTTTTTTTATGCTCCTTAATTGTTAAGCTTCTACTTCATATACTTTTTATAAAAGGCGCGCATCGCCCCTCTTCACTTTTGCTTTTAATTGTTTCAATCCTTCTATGATGGACACACCTTTATTTACTTTTGCTTTTAATTTTTTTATCCATCTTCTTTTTATTTTTTTATATAATCCTGTAATTATTATAGATTTTTTTACGCATATATAACCAAAAAAAATTATTATATTAAATTAATAAAAAGTTTTCCTATGCTCTTCTTGATGTTGATATTGTTAATATAATAATTTGAAATCAAGTTTAGCACTAATAGATAGTGAGAATATATGTAAATTATCAGTCATTCATTTCTTTTTATTTAAATAATAATATTTTAATAATTTTATATTTTAATAATAGATATCTTTTGAATTTTTTGTTTTGTTTTTATGGCTTGTTGAAAAAGTCAAGATTTCAAAGAAAATAAACACAAGGTTGTGAAAATAAAAATAAGATGAAAATAGAATCCTTGAAACATATGACCAATGAAAATACCTAGAAGAAAACAAAAATAATATGAAAATAGAATTCTTGAAAAATTATGGTTAATGAAAAAAACCAAGAAAAAAACTTAATTGAAATAATTTTGGTTTAAATACAGTTGGAAGGAAAAAAAACTAAACCGAACATGGTTAGTTCGAACCAGTTTTCAATTCCATTCATTTAAAAAAACTTGAAAAAAGTAATTTCAGTTTAATTATTTATTTTGGCCCAAAACCAGACCATACAAAAAATGTTCATCCCTGTATATAGGGAAATATATAATAGTAATAGTGGAAATTATAATATAAAATTATATCTATAATATTTTCCACATAGATACATTTTATAATATACCCCCTAAGCTGAGAGTGGAGGATCAACCCGAAACTTGAAATGAAAAGTAGTAAATGAGATAGTAGAAAGTGACTTAGTAAAGACATATGCAAGTTGATTATGGAAGGAAATAAAACAAATCTGAATTTTCTTCTTCGCATCTCTATTGCAGACAAAATGATAATCAACTTCAACATATTTTGTGCGAGCATGGAAAATAGGATTCGTAGATACATATGCGGCACAAGGTTATTACATCAAATGATAAGAGTAGAAATATACAAAATATGAAGATTTGTTAAGAAATGCTAAAGCCAGATAACCTTAGCAGTGTCATCAGCTAAGGTTTTGTACTTAGCTTCAGTAGAAGAGTGAGCAATTATACATTGTTTACCCAATTTCCATGAAATTGATATTTGACCAAAAAACACAAGATAACCACCCATAGATTTTCTATCATTAATACTACATGTCCAATCTGTATTTGTAAAGTCATAGAGTGCAAAGGAAGAACTATGAGTAATATGTAATCCATATTTTGTTGTACCCTTAAGATAACATAAGATGCATTTAATGTAATCCAATAAAAATCTGTAAGAGCATGCATAAACTGACAAATTTTGTTAATAGAAAAACAAATATCAAATCTTGTAAAAGTAAGATATTAAAGAGCACCTATAATATGACGAAAGTGTGTAGCATCAGAAAACAAATGATTTGGTGTTATAGTAGCTTTAGATGTAGAGATAGAAGTATCAACAAGTTTGCAAGATAACATGCAAGCTTGAGTGAGGATGTCAAGTGTATATTTATGTTGTCAGAGCATAAGACTCGTACCGGTAGACTAAATCTTAATACCCAAAAAGTAATGAACATTATCCAAGTCGCGAAACTTAAATTCTAAGCTCAATAGCTGTATGAAGCATTGAAGTAAAAAAGAGTTGCTACCCGTAAGCAAAATATAATCAATATAGACAAGAAGATAACAAATATTAGCACCAACAGAGAAGATAAATAATGAGGTATCCACCTTAGAGGTACTAAAACCAATAGATATCAGGAACTCATTCAGACTAGTGTACCAAATGATTAGTACTTAAAAGTACATTTTTATCATGGTTTTATATCATCATTTTGCACTTCAAATATCAATAACTCCTTAACTAAAATATGTTTTATAATAATGTATCTAATAATATAAGATACCTATAATTTATGGTAAATGTCTATTTTTAATGCAGGCCAAACTTAGAAAAGAGATGTCGGAGCAATCCAAACCGGAACACTGTTCGGTAATTGGGTCATATCTAGAGCTACAGATCTCAGATTTAGGTCCAATTTATATGGATGGAAAGGTAAGACATAGGCCTACAACTTTCATATGGAGCCCAAGATCTAAAAAGGCCATTATCAAGTCCAAATTGTAGCAACAACAAAGAAGCCCGAATCTGTCTTCCAGCCCGAGCACTGTTCGGTATTTTGGCCATATCTAGAGTTCTAGAAGTCCAAATGAGCTGAAGTTTTTACACAAGAAAGCTGAGACAATTGCCTACAACTTTCATGTTTACAACTGGCTCCAATTTGGACGTTATCAATGACGTTTTGGGCAGACAAGAGAAGATAAAGATTGTCACCAAGTCAAAAGTTGGCCACCCACTTATCAATTAGTCATCAAATCAATAGTTCCCAATTTTGGCCTATAAAAGGAGACATTTGCCATGCATTTAGGCATCTTGGTGTTCAGATCAAGATCATGCTCTTCCTTTCTCTCTTTGTATTTTTTATGCTTTGTTTTCATTAATATTAAGTTTATGCCTTTCATTTCCTTTCCTTTACTTAGTTAACTTTTATGTTCTTATTTTGTTTATCTATTTTGCTTTCTTTCATTATGTCTAGCTAAGTTAATTATGTCAAGGTGAAAAGGTTACACTAATGGTGTAAGAATAAGTATAATGTAAACTTAATATGGACTTTAATGTTTGATACTAACATGTTTTATATTTGTTATCTTGTTCACTCTTTAATACTTTGCTTGTTAAATGACTAATCTTGATTTATGTTGTATAACACTTGGTACAACAAATGCTTGGCACTTTCATAGCCCATAATGTATGGTATAACCGACACCTGAGCTATGAAAGGAACTTGATTTATTGTTAACATAAGTTATAATCATGAATGCTTGACGAGATTTACAAGTATTAGCATTAATTGAATAAGATGACTAATGTAATCATGTTAACAATATATAATCTGATTGGAACCTCCTTTGTGTGTGGTTTCCAATTCAATAATAAGAGTTTATACTATACTTGTTTGATATACCATTAGTGGAACCTCTAACCTTGACATTTGTTATTATCATTGTTTAATCGTTACATTAATATTCCATCTA